GCGCCGCCACCGCCTCCTCCCGGCCGGCAGCCTCTGCCCTCGCCCAGAGCCAGAGGCGCTCCAGCCACCCGGGGACGCCAGCGGTCATTGGCGATTTCTGCTGCCCAGTTTCCTCCGCTGGCTGTCATCCGACTTGTGCACCCGGAAGCACTCCTTCAAGTTCTGGGCTCGGATTTTGGGGTTCAGGATCTCCTCCCCCATAGAACTGGGGAACCAGCCCCTCTCCTGGTCGTGAAGACGCTCCCCAAATATCCAACCTGAGCAGAGATAGAGAGAGAGCTAAACGGGGACGGACTGGCCACTGTGCCTGCGCTGGGGTAGTTGCATGTGGAAACGCCTCCGGAGCTGGCAGTGCTTCTGGCCAGCTGTCTTTAGCGACTCTGAGGCCTGCGCTGGAGGAGGCCCGGTCTGCAAACGCAGCCAGAGGCCAGCTTGCCCAAGCGGCGCCGTGTTCGGACAACCAGCTACAGGGGCATGAGTAGAAAGCAGACGCTCTGCTTCTCGTCAGTCCCCTCAGCTTGCCCCTGACACCACGGGAGCGATCCCCAGCAGAGACCCAACGTGACTGGGTTTACCCAGAAAGGTGCGTGCGTGCTGGGGGGACCGGGGCCAGCTGGATGTGACGTGCCACCAAGGTGGGAACAGCTCTGGCTACGGTCAGGGTGGCTTTGCTGAGCATCAGGAGAGGGAGCAACTGCCTCGGCTGCGATGCCGGGGGGTCTCTCTCTGGCTCTCTGCTCAGCAGCCGACTGCTTGCAGCAAAGCCCTGTCTTCTGGCAGGGACCCCAGGCTCAGCCCCTCACCCTTACCGTCATCTGTCTTGTCCAGGATGTTGAGGACGTCCGCCAGCTCCAAGGACAGCTCGTCCGGCTGCTGGGCCACGTACGGGTGGACGCACTGGATCTGCGGGCAGTCTGCCGAGGGACAGGGTGAGAGTGAGGGACGGACAGGCAGGAGCCCGGGGGGGGACAGCAGGGCTGAGGTGGGTGTCATGCCCCGAGCGCTGCAAACGGCCCCCCTCCAACCTGCCAAGGGCCCTGGAGGGAGGGTTGAGCTGAAGCTGGCCGAGCCGTGGAGGCCGAGGGGTGCCCCAGCTGCAGGGGCTGGGGAAGCGTCTCATGGGGTGTGAGTCCCCTGCTGCGGTGTCACCCAGGAGCGGTTTGGGCAGGATGGGGAGCACTGGCACAGGGATGGCCGGTGTCAACGGCTGAAACCTGAAGGGGGCTCAGGGAGAGGAGGCCAGCTCCAGGCCTGGATGGGGAGACTGGGGGAGAAGATGCTCTGGGGCAGGGGTGAAGAGCTTCCCAGGCCCGGCATTGTCCTTCTTACCGACGAGTCTGGATGTAAACGAAACGAACTTGGTTCTCCGGTTCGGGGCTAACGAAATCATCCAGCGCTTCATCTCGCTCCTAGACAGGGAAGAGAAGCCGAGGCTGTGAGCACGAGACAGTCCTAGGGACCCCGGACCTCCCAGGCAGCCCTGCACTCCTAATTCCTCCTCTCACAGCCTTTCCCTGCCTGTTCCCCTGGGTCTGCCAGTGACGCTGGGACTGTGCGACTGTTTTTCCTGGGGAAACGCAGTTAGAGGAACCATCTATTCCCACAGCTGCTGTGTGGGAATGTTTCAAGGGCAGAGCGGATGAGTCCGTTTGCAGACTAATGTTGCAGTATATCAAGGGTACCACTCGCTTGGCAGCAGATGAGATGACAGAGCCGTGCGAACGCGTTGCTAGGTCCAGCAGGCTGTTATTAACTGCAAAACCCTGCCTGCAGCAGGAGGGTGAAGATTTCACATGCGCTGGAGAAGCCCGAGTGTTGGCGCTCCCTCGAGGCCCCCTCCAGCCCCGCTTGGAAAGGGCGGGGGAGTTCGCCTCCGTGCGCTGCAGCTTCTGCGTCGAGCAGCAGCTCTGCCTTCACCCCGGCCCCGAGGGAGCCAGAATTTTCTGCCTCCTTGGATGGCAGCTTTAAAACCTGAATTTGACACGCATCTAAAGCCACCGGAGTGTCCTCTGGGAGGAGAGCGGCCTAAAAGGGAGACGTGAAGGATGAGTGGTGACAGGCTGAGCCACACGGCTGGGAACACCTTGTGCTTTGGGCTGAACCGTGGTGCCAAGGACCAGCGAACCCCGCCGCGGCTGCAGTCGAGCGCAGCCCCTCGCACCACGAAGGCGTGCAGGATGAGAGCCCTGCACGCTGAATGGGGTCACGCAGAGATGAGGCTAACCGAGGGTCTCGTGGTCGCGGTCCCGGCTGCAGGCTGAGCTGGCGGCCTTGCACGCAGCTCCATGCAGGGCCCTTTGGATCCTGCCTGTAGCCCCCGGCTCCTCCCAGCCCTGCACATCAGATGCACTAATCTCTGCATGGCATCCATTTCCTTCTATTAATTCTTCAGTTTTCTTCACCCAAACCACTGGTTTGTGCCCAGAGCATCCCTGAAACTCTGGAATAGCAGCCTTCAGCAGTCACTACCGCGCATCTCAGCACGCAGAGACCTGGTGGCAAGCCGTGTGCCAGACCGCGTACTCGCTGGGCCTATCAGCAGATAGGGCAGGGTGCAGAAGCACAGAAATGCAACTGCCTCCCTGAGCTGAGATGAACCCTGGCCTGGTTTAGCAGTCTCTGCACGGCTCGGTCTCATCGATGTTAAATGCATTTGCCCTGTATAACATGACTGACATCTCTATTTTCAGTACAGCAAAGCTCCAGTCACGTGTTTGGAGGGAAGGTGCAGCTGCTTGCCGTGCTGCGGGCTCATCCTCCTGATCCAGGCACTGCGCTGTGGCGAGGGGTCGGCCTGCAACCTCAGGGCCGGCAGCAGGATGTGGGCAGGGCTCCCTGTCGAGGCTGGTGTCTGCTAAAGGATGCAGATGTCAAGTGCTGGCCTCTTGAGGGTGAAAGAACATCCAGCTGAGGGCTCACATCATCTCCAGCACCTGTTCAGCTGGAGGTGCAGATACACCTATATAATATGTCTATACAGTGCAGATACCGTGCCTGGAAAACCATGCACCTGGTAACTGAGACTAGTGAAAGGGCCAGGCCCTGAGCTCTGAAACGATCCCATCTGCGCTAGCGTGGCTGAATCATTTGCCCAGTCTGACTTGTTGGAGACTGAAGTGAAAAATCAGTGAGCCAAAAAGCCTGTAGCCAGGGAGACGAGCCCCGAGCAGCACAAGGGCTGCTGCAAGACTGGGGTTGGCTGCGGCAGGCCCTGAGGCCTCTTCTCCCGCCTTTGTCTGCCACCAGGAGCCGCTTTGCTTCACGGGGCTGACCAGGCACGACCTCAATCTTTGTGAATGAGCCAATTGAGCCGACGGCAGCATAACTGCGCAGCGCATGTCTTGCTTGCTTTTACTCTCTGAACGTGCCACCGGCTATAAATCAAATGGGCTCCTCTGCGGGGGCTGATTTCGGACTCCTCTGTCCCAGAAAGCAAAGTGCCTGTCCCCACCAGGATGCTCCAAGTACCCTGTATAGGAGGAAAAACCTGCCTAGTTCAGCAGCGCCTTT